TGCTTCTTTGTTTTTCTTTAAATATATTTTTATTGATTTCAGAGAGGAAGGGAGGAGGAGAGAGATAGAAACATCAGTGATGAGAAAGAATCATCGATCAGCTGCCTCCTGCACCCCCACACTGGGGAATCAAACATGTAGCCTGGTCATGTGCCCCGACCAGGAATTGAATGGTGACCTCCTGGTTCATAGGTCAACGCTCAACCACTGAGCCACGCTGGCCAAGCAAAATATGTTTGTTTTTTATTTCTAAAGTCAATAGACTTTAGAGAGAAAATAAGGAGAGAGAGAGAGAGAGAGAGAGAGAGAGAGAGAGAAATGTGAGAGAGAAACTGATCAGTTGCAGCTGCCTCTCGAACGTGCCCAGACCATGAGTCAAACCTTCAACCTGGGTATGTGCCCTTACTGGGAATCAAACCTACGACCCTTTGGTGCATGCAGTAATGTTCCAACCAGGGCTTTAATTGATTTCTTGATTGATTACTAACAGGGAAATAGGTTTGTCCAAATTCTGCTATTGACTCAATAATCTTACTTGTACACAATCATTTTTCTTTCTCAAGTATTATGACAAGCAATTCCCAAAAGAAACAATGGAATGAATTGCACTCCTAATGTTTTATCAAAGTCTTACGTAATCATCTGCATCAGACTTGCCTGGGGAACATCTTTAAAATACTGATTTCTGGGCCCTACTCACTGACTAAAGGTGGACTATAGAAATAACAGTTCACAAGTTCCTCCAAGTGATTATAATACATGCTGAAGCATGAGGACAACTGGTATATACTGTATGCTTTCTATTATTACAAATCCAAACCATAAAATAATTTCAAGAAAGAATTAGTGAATGTTTATTGAAGTTCAGGAAGTAGAATTCTATAACAGCATTTATTTTTAAGTGTGAACTTTTAAAAGAAAAGATTGATTGATTGATTGACTTATACATAAAGTTTAAGTTCCCTTTAACAAAGAAAGACAAGATAAAAAGCCAAAGGAAAGAATGTAACACAAAACACTTTTTTTGGTCAGTATACCATGTTTGGCCATAATTAACTTTTCCTAATGTCAGTAAAATATATCCAAATTCTCTTTTTTTGTGATCAGCTAACAAAACAGTGAGCCAGCCTTGTACCCCCTTTTCACGGTGTGATGGCATTTGGGAGGGTCTTCATGTCTCCAGAGCAGTCTTCAAGGTTATGGCAGCCTGGTGGATGCTGGTGGATGCAGATTCCAGCTGGAGTGAGATGAGGGTCCAGGGCCTCACTGTGGCAGTTTTACAGACAGGATGAATCCGTCCCCCTGGTGCTCTGAGGATGTAGATAGAAGGACCCACCCCAACCACACTCATCTCCAGGTTGTCTGGCTTTGGCTTCTCTGCTCCAACCTGCGGCAGGCACCAGACCCTCCTAGGCTGATGGCCAGGCAGTCCTAACTAGTACTTAACTGGAGGACGATGACTGGCCCCATCTGAAGGTAGAGCACTTTGCCTTTCCCTCCTTCTGTTTCTCTTTTGAAGAACTTTGTAGGGGAGGAGATAAAGCCCCCAGGATTTCTAACTGGGAACATTGGTTGGGATCATCTTTGAGCAAGAAGATGTCTGACTGGGCCTGACCAGGTAACTTGGGACTGAAGCAGAAGGGGCTGGCCCTTCCTCAGAGTACAGTGAAGTGCCCCCTCCCCCTCCATGGGGATGGACTTTCAACAAGACCTCACCCATTGCTCCCCTACCCACCTCCCAGAAGGTCTTGGGTGAATGTTTGGATGGTTCTGTGGCGACTTGAACTGTGTGTGTGCCTGGTGCAGTACTTGTGATGTCTGCATCAGCCCAGGCCCAGAGGCACAGGAGACCCCAGGTGAAGGGAGCTTGCAAAACCATGTGGTCCTTCAATTCAGGAGAAAAGGGTGTCACTACCTGTGTGAACACCCCTAGGCACTGCAAGTCCAGCCCATGATTTGGGGACCAGTGCTGTCAAGCTATGAATTGGTAGAAGGTGCTTTTGAAAGCATTTATGGTGGAAGAAACAATGCCATTTGGGTAATCAGATGAAGATCAAATTCAAATTCTTAGGTTTAGGAAAGCAATGTGGTTAGGGATATGGCCTTAGAGTCAGATAAACTTGGATTCCAATCTGGGCTATTCTCCTTACAGTATGTGACCTTGCATAAACCACTTCTTTGAAGTGAATATTTGTAGAAGATGTTTTCATGAAAATTTCTAATATCATCTTTATCTTTCTATTTCTAGTTTTAACTTTTCCAATTAGCATGTTGAGCTTTTATGATCAGAAAAAAATAAAGGTGCAAATAGTATAATTCTGTTTGTCCTTTCTCTTAGTTGAGATTGGATCTGTTGGCTCTTTCAGTTCATCATTTGCTTTCTGTTCCACCTTACTTCTGAAATGGACCTCGGTGGGTCCTGGCTGAGAAGTTCAGCTAATTTTGAGATGGTTATCTGGATTGATTGTTCTATAATTTAGTTGTAATTTTGATGTGTTCATGGGAGTATGGAGTGCAGCTTCCATTTACTCTGCCATCTTGGATCTCCTCTATATCTATATTTGTATACTTATATATCTACTAGAGGCCCAGTGCACAACAATTTGTGCACTTTT